GGGTCAGAGAGAACTTTGATCAAGGCTGCTGTTAGTCGTGGTTACTGTCCCTATACCCTACTTGATAAATCTAAAAGGACACTCGAATGACTTCAGAACAGTGGGGAAGGACAAGAAACCAATTTAATGAGGACATGGCGCTACTCTTGTTTTTGTTCTTAACTTATTTTATTGAAGAAGGGGTCATAGAGCATTTTTCTCAAAGCCGATGTCCCTATACACTTGTTGTTAACTATTAAAGGACGAAAGGCAATGTTGTGACACATTCGGACGGTGAAAACACAAATCAGAAAGACAATAAATTAGAACATTTCATTGTATGCATTTTGTTGTCTGTCTTTTAAAGTTTCAGGTATAGGACTAATCTACTTGGTGAACGAAGTTATGCTGTTTTTTAAAGTGCTTATAAACATCGTGCCTCCAATCCTTGTCGAGGGACCAGAAAATGCTTGTCCTCATTGAACTAACCATGTTAACAAATTTAAAAAATCTATACAGATTGAATAATTATCATCATCTCTATAAACAATGACATGGTGCATTTTACGTTGTCTTTGTTTCAAAAGTTGCTTTCATTTTGAGTACATATTTGCTAGCTATAGTTTTCATTGTTGCTGGGCACACCATTAGCTCAGTTGATATCATGCTGGACTACGGAGAGGACGTCTTTTAATTTCTCCCTGTAAGTGTTTGCAGAGAGCCCCTAGTTCGTACTGTCAACAATACCATTAAGGCAATGAAATTGAAGTCATATTATATATTTCTAATTGTTCGTTTTGTTTATATTTTAGGTGTGCCATTTGGATCACTCCCATGCTTGGAGGTGAACGGGAAAATGTACGGCCAATCCATGGCTATCGCAACTTTCCTGGCAAAGGAATTTGGTAACTATTGAGTGATGCATTGATAGTGCGAGCCCATAAAGTGTGTATGTGTGTGTGGGTGGGGGGTGTTGAGTGAATTGTGTGTGTGTGTGTGTGTGTGTGTGTGTGTGTGTGTGTGTGTGTGTGTGTGTGTGTGTGTGTGTGTGTTTTGTGCGTATGTTTATGTGCGTTTGCGTGTTTGCCGAGTTCAATGGCAGCACAAGTTGGATTTGGTCAATACCTCTCAAACAGACAAATTAATTTTTTTTTATAGGAAGAAAAGCAAAGCAAACCACACAGAGAATTGGTGCGTATAATTTTTAAAGTGTATTTGTACAGGTCTTTACGGTAATGGCAACACAGACGGTCTCGTCATTGATGGTGTCTTGCAGCTCATTCAGGACATCATCACTCTCGCTGTCAAGTTCATGTTTGAAAAGGATGAGAAGAAGAAGGTGAGACCAGATTTTAAATTTGACTTGGACTATCTGTTTTGAAATTGATGTTTGAGATGTTTAAGTGGGTAAGAACATATTTTGAATTTGACTTGGACTGTGAGTTTTGAGGGGCAGTTATCAACATCGTCGTCAAATTCATGTTTGAGCAGGATGGGAAAAAGAAGGTGAGACCAGGTTTTGAATTTGGCTTGGACTATGAGTTCTACCTTCGTAAAGATCTTATCTACGTTTATCTGACGGCTACGCATTGAACGAAACAATTTGGGAGGTCAAAACTGACGACTGCGCTCCTCGGCGGACTTTAGTTTACTTTGGCACAGGAAGAAATAATACACGGACATAAGTAGAATCAACCAACCTGCCGAAATAGGGCGTGAGCAGTAGAACATATGGCACCAATTCAAAACCACACACAGTCTCGACAAAGTTTGCTTGTTCTGGTTTAGGCTACAACTTTATTTGGAAAAAAAGTAGCTTTTTTAAAAGCATCTGAGCAAAGGAATGAATGGAAAACCATGATCGCCGATGTCTGTCGCACATCTGGCACTGGATGATGATGACGATGATGATGATGATGATGATGATGATGATGATGATGATGATGATGATGATGATGTGTTTTGTACGTCCCCATCGACACAATTTAAGATCTTTTAGTGAACCTTGCTTCTCCTGGTAAACCTGGGTTAAGAGGGATCAGCATCCCAGCAGACAGAAGATGATACCCGATACAAATTCTCACTACACGGGAATCGAACTCACATCTGCTGCAATGAAGAAGCACCTGACTGCTACATCACAGACGCCGGTTTAGAGTTACACGGGCTGGACTTTTATGTTAGCATGAAGTTTGGGAGAAGGCAAGGGATTTATTATTATGTGCATGGGACGATGAAGAGAAGGAGGAGGAGGAAGAAGACGAAGAAGAAGAAGAAGAAGAAGAAGAAGAAGAAGAAGAAGAAGAAGAAGAAGAAGAAGAAGAAGAAGAAGAAGAAGAAGAAGGAAGAAG